TAGCTTCTCGTACGAAAGCTGATCTTGGGCATCTAAATCCTCGGGTCTCACCGCATAATATTCGGGCCTCTGTTCATAATGTCTCCACTGCCACTCAAGCGGGAAACGGGCCATAAGTCGGGTAACTGACCGCCCATCCTCTACCTCTTCCACCCGGGCATAGAGAGAATCTATGTCCGCTTTCGTCAAGGGTTTCACGATGAAGTATCTCTCCTTGAAATTCCGCACGGACTCCAGGTAAGGTCGAAAGAGTTTCTCGAACTGCTTAAAATAAACCCACGCCTATCTCTCGTGGACTGATTGTCTTTGCAAGTGAAAGATGCGGAAGAAGAGGGGCAGCGTGGCGCCTATCCCCATATATTGGCAGACGAGCTCGAACGCCCGCATGAACGCCAACGCATTTGGATGAAGTTGAGAAGGTGCAAGTTGGAGCCATTGGAAAACCCCGACCTGGAAATCATTAAAAGGCAGGCGCATCCCCGCCTCCTTGAAAGCAAACTCATACATCGGGAACCATTTTCCCGGATACGACGAGCATATCCTTCGATCCCCGTGAGGTATTTGAAGCATCCAGTTGGCTGGAGCCCCCTCTGTGCGTTCTTCCGGGCATTTAAACGCGTCCGTTGTGTCCCGCGAGAAGCACGATATTTTGTCCCGGGGCTTCGGAGCAACCCAAGCCAAAGGATCCTCCTCGTTGCTTTGGGGTTCATCGTCGTGACGGGTGGCCGAAATATCGCTCCCACGGCAGCGTGCCATTGTACCTGAAAAGCAGGGGAAGTTAGTGAATTCGACATTATCAAATCCACCCTTCCACCACAGATCAAGTGAAAGGGCGACGAACTCGACCCAAGCCCTCGACATGCTAAAGAGGGCCATTACAGTCAAATGACATGGCATCAAGGAATAGTTTATCGAGCACGAGCCCGGATACGCACTAACCTAAGGATCCCCCAACACCATAACGCGAACGCCCATAGGTGCCTGTCACATTCATGAATGCTCGACACTAAATACATAAACCTAGATGAATATTCGTGAGTAGTCATGAAGCTCATGAATATTTATTAATAGGTGTCCGGCATCTTCATGAGTGCCCGACACAAAACCCATGAATTCAGATGAAAACTCATGAACATTCATCCAATCAAGACAAATTTTTGACATTTAATCCAGATAAGCCCAAGAAAGGTGGTATTAAGAGGTTATAACTTACTTGGATGAAGGACGTTGTGGAAAAAACTGGGAAGTTGAGAGGGTCGCCTCACACCTCAAGCGAAGAAAAACTGAGAGCTTTGAGAGAACCGCTTCACACCGCAAGCAGAGGAAGATTGAAAGGGAGCTGAGAAAATGACAAATGAATCCCAAGGGTCCCCTTTTTATACGCAACCCACGCCCCAAGGGATCCCACATGGAGGGTCATCATCTCATTGACCCCTTTTGCCTTTTTCTTAAAGGGGTGGCACCCCAAAACGTTAGCCACATGGCTCAACCATCAAACACGAAATCCTCCGAACTGACGAGCAAACGCCCGACTCCTACGAGGATATTATGTAGGGGGTCACATTTACGCGGGGAGGTGCTCGACATTGGAGTGCGCAGAAGAACACATTTCCTTGACTATCTCGAAGATGAGGAAATGCTCGACAAACTAACAGTTCCCATGAAGCGGATGAACCCTCTCGAGCACAATAACTAGGGAGGGGATCCTCACCGCCAATATGCCCTCTCGAGTAGGCGGATGAACCTTCCGATCCTGATCCCCGTCCGTCCAGGGTATTCCACGACATAGTTATGTTTGCCCCCAACGGGCAACGATCCGCTCCCTTCGGGGCCTTCGACCCTCTATCCCGACCAAGCCTTTGATAACAAGAACTGCACTCAAGTCATCACCCTCTAACTCAAGGGTAATAACTTGGGGGGCTCCTGATCTAGACTGGGCCTATGTTGGTCCTACGAAAAGAAAGCCCAAACGGCCCAAGTTAGATATTATGGGGCACCTCCCCATCTAACCGTTGGGGGACGTGGCCCACCACTTCTCAACGGACACATCAAATTGCCCTCCGGGAATCTCGGGTCCAACCCTATTCTCGCGGAGCAATTGACTAGGGGGGAGTCCACTCGCTGGACTCCATAGTCACGTAAACCTGGGCAATTATTGTTATTGGGTCTCTGCGTGGCCCAATAGTGAGGACCTTGACCTAGCGCTGGGGGCTATAAATACCCTCTCTCATGAGAGGGTCAGGTATTCATTCATTCACACCTATATACTCACTTGCTTGCTCATTTTGTCTCTCATTTTGCCATCGAAGTGTCTTGCAGATATCCCCACATCTCCTTCAACTCCAGCCCGAAGCCAGCTGTGACGGTCTAATTCTGACTAGGTACGATCAATTACCATAAACTAATATATTATCATTTTTTTAAAATTTAATATATTTTTCTATTATACGCTATAAATTGATTTTATAAACAAATTGACCAACTAAATCGATCAAAAAATAACTTCAATTGATATGGGTTGAAACTAAACAAAAAAGAGATATAGAACAAAAATGTAAAATTATGCCTTAAACTACATAGATTGAAACTAAACAAAAACATATCTAGAACAAAAATGAAGAATCATTGATACATTCATGAACAAACCTAAAAAATTTATAATATGGGATATAAAGACAAATTTAACACACCATTTTTTTAATAATTCTTGAGAAGGACAAATTCAATTAATTTAATTCCGGATTTTTTTTTGTATTACATTCATAATCTTTTATAAAAAAATGTAAATAATATTAATATAGACGTGAATATATTTTAATAATATATATTTATATGATTTTAAATATAATATACATTGAAATAAGATGATATAATTAAATATTATATAACTGTAAAAAATTTATGAAATTTTAAAGGTTTGACTAACTTGATGAACAAAAATAATGATATATAAAATATAGTGTATATATAAAATATAATAAAGTGACAATTAACAAATTTGTATAAATATAATTGTATTGCTTTAAAAATAAATAAATGTCATAACAATGAATTGTACTTATAGTATATATTGAAATAAAATAGAGCACAATTGTGTACTGTTGGTTTACTTTAAAAATAAAAATAAAAACAGATACAGCTAGAAGAAAATTCACATGCTGCAACTGAATACCAGCCAGCATTCTTATTGTCAAATGACTCATTTAACTTCATGTACAGATCCACAACATATCTATATACAATTAAAACATCCTCAAATTGATTCAACATATCTATTAACAGTATTTCATAAGATTGTAGATTGCAATAAAAAGCTCTTAAATCCTCATTTTCTACTTAAATAAGTGCGAGTTCATAAATATTGAAATTAGCTACTAACAATATTTCATAATATTCTTGATTAAAATGAAAAGCTGTTGAATATCGGAAGGAAGTTCATGAAAAATAATTTAAAATGTTTAGAAGTTAAAAAATAAAAAATAATTTAAAAATGTTTAGGAACATTGTTAATGATAATGTTGAAAATTTGAAGAGAATGATGTTACGATAAGAAAACCACTTCTGTTAATTTGTTTACTTAATATTTATTTTTTAGTCACAAAATATAAAAAGAAAAGATTGTGCAATATTTAACATAGGTTACGCAGCATAGTTGGTTGAGGGTCCGATCTTTTACTTAAATTATCTGAGTTCAAGACTCCTTGAAATCAAATTTTGATTTATGTCATTCTAATTTAAAAAATCAATTAAATAATAAAAAAATTCAGAATTTAAATATAATAAATAATAAAATTAATTTATAATTTTTTAAGTGACCTGGCCAAAAATTTGTGACATAGCACCACGTGGTCAGTGCCACATCATAAATTGAGATGCCAACAATACAATTTTGGAAAGGGACAAAAAAATAATAATAAAATTTAAAAAAATTATAATAAAGAGATCAAAAGTATATTTAAACCTAAAAAAAATTATGAGATTATGCTCTGTCATAGTAAAATTCAAAAATGATGAGATTCTGACAGTAATTATGAAACTGTTTTACATGTCGGCATATTAATTAAATTCAAAAGTTATATAGATAACTTATATTTTCTGCTTTGATTTGAACAGGTAAAGTAATTATGTTCATGTAACCTTGATTCAGATGATATTACAAAGTGACAAATAAAAAAGAAAATGACTTATATTAGTACTTTATTTTATTTTTTACAGGAGGTTAATATAAAGCGAAACCATAGAGAAAATGAATTATATTGATATCTATATTTCTTTTTCTTTTTTTTTTATAAATGAGAGGTAAAGTAATTCAGAAGACATTAGAAAGTGAGAAAAAATTACACAAACTTAGACTTGTCAATGTGTAACTCATTTTCTGAACTAAAGCATGCAAACTTCTTCGTAATAACAAATAAAAAAACAGAAAATGTTTGTATTCGTATCAATCAACAATATTAACATCATATTGAACAATAAGTTAATATTGCACTTGTACATTTCAAAATAACAAACAAACATGAACACAATTTGGAATGGAATCGAAGAGAGCAGCATTTAATTGCTGGAAGACAAATATCAAGTAGGTTTTCACCTTTCCATTAGAACTTAAACGAAAATTTGAGTGCAGATATTAACAATTCAGATGATAAAATAGCACAAGGTCTAGCTTGTGGATACAAAGATATGAACTACATAGGGAAAAAGTATGAATCCAGAAGACATACCCACACATAGACATAGGAAGCCACATATTCTGAGGGATCATAGTCATGACACAGTAACAACTTTCTGATTTGAACAATAATAACAGCAGTCCCCAACACAAATAGTTGCTGCAACTTAGAATTCGTCCAGGAAGAAAACTTGCTGAAAACTTGTTGAACAAGTTCTAATTCATTGATTTGTAAACTAAATAATATCTTCCATCCAAACTAGATAATTGCTTTACTATATGTGAGTTGTGACTAAAGGGCCCGGCGTGTAAAACTAAATTAGTTAAATCATATGTTGAAATTTTTGGATTTGAAAACTAGTGATTGAAGACGTAACCTAGCATTAGCAGCGGCAGCAATAGATTCTTCATCTTGCTTTTCTTTGCTAATAGCAACTGCAGCGATGTAAGCTTTTCTTGCTTCTTCCATTTTCTGCCATTCCATCTCATCCATATCGTCCTGTCAAACCAGAGATGTATAACTCTAAAGGTCAACAACATCCATGGATTAGTTATTTCTGCACATTTCTAGTGTTGTGATGAAATTGTCACCATATACAGCAATGTGTGAAGATATACATTGGTATATTGATTGGAAAAATGTAAACAAACTCACAATTTCAGGCACGTGATTGAAAACATAAGGCTTGGTGTCATAATCATCTGCGTAAATTGCAGTGTCAGTATCTGCTAAGCTTTGAAGCAGCAACGTGAATGTCGAAACATCCACTTGCACAGAGTCCAGATCTTCTTGAAGTTTCTCCACTTTCTTGTTGGATGTCATCATTTCCCAATTTATCTTTTCAAGGGCAGCTTGCTTATCTGCAAGTTTAATCTGTGGAAAACGAGGCCGGTAAATAAATACATACAACGGAGAATTATAGAATCAATTTTACAGCAATCAGAAGCCATGCATGTGATGTAGCAAGTGAAAAAGTTTAAATATATCACTGGCTACGGCTACGAGAGACTGACCTTAGCATCAGAGAGTTGTTGTTGAGTATACTTAAGGGAACCATCCTTTTCTAAAACCTGGTGTTTCATTTCATCGAGTTTTGCATCTGCTGACTTTAAAAGTTCCTCTTTCTCCTTTAACTTCAACTTAAGGTCTCCTATCTGTTCCTTCAAGGTAGCCAATTCTTCTAGGTCCTTCTCTGATGTAAAAGCCCTTCCAGAAAACATAGAAAAGTTATCAGCATCAGAGTTTTGTCCTTGTTCTTTTGCTCCATGGTCCCTCGTCTTTGTGGCAGAGATAGATTGCTAACATGAACAGGATCAACAAATAAAATAAATAATAAATAACAATCATACAGCACAAGTACACAAATAATCCTTGATTCGTTACACAATTAACACAAACCTCCTTAGTACCTTTTTATCTTTTGGCGGTGCCTTGGTATAGATCATGGAACTACGATGAGGAAAGGAACGACTCGGTTTACGATCCTAAAATCAGAAATTAGAGTCAAACATAGTCAGTAGCATTGATATCTGAAATTCAAAGAACGGAGAGTTGGATATGACTTACTATGAGGAGGGATTGAACGAGAGGGACCATGTCGACGAGGTCTTTGAAGAGGTCACGGTTCAAATTGGGATTACATGCTGAAGCAACAGCGCTGGAGACTGAATCTGACTCATCGAATTCGGTATTGTTTTGCAAATCCGCCGGATGCGGCATTTTGCTTTTCACTGTTCAACACTTTGGATTCCAACAAGAACAAGAACAAGAACAAGAGTCACTCCAAAGAGAAAACAGTTCAAGAGACTGCCGTTTGAATTTCTTTCGATTTGCACACCAAACAACGTCGTATTGCTCGCTCTTCAACTTTCATTTTTTTTTTTTTTACTTTATTATAGTTTGGGTTTCTTATTTTAAAGTTCACTTTTTTATTTTTATTTTAATCACTCGTAATTTTTATACTCAAGATAAACTATTTATAAGCTATGTGTATGTCTATTTTTAATTACATATTATCTATATTATTGATATGTTTTATTAGATTAGATGTCATGTACGTTTACTATTAAGTTTTTTATAATCGATAGTGTATCGTAATTATTCATAAATATTATTTTATTAGTAATTAAAATAAAAATCAAATTTAATTTAAAATTTAATGATTATTATTTATTGATGGTGTAAATTTTTTTTACACTGTCAATATATTCTAACTAAATTCTATGTCATATTTTTATTTATAGAATTTTTTTAAATTAAGACATTATTAATTTTAAATACAAATTTATATAAAATATTAAAATAATTTATATTTAAAATAAAGAACTAAAACTTTTTTTGTTACAATATTTTGATGAAAAAATTTACCAATTAAAAAAAGTTTAAAATGATAAAACTTATTTTTATAGGAAAATGCTAATGATTAGGGTTCAATTTTGACATCAAATAGTTTCAACTCTTTTCCGATCGCAGTTGCGGAGGATTGAACTGTGATTCTCTTGTTAACCAGCAATTTTCAACTAAGGAGATCGAGCCACAAGTCAAAGAGCATCATTAATTAAAGAGCAGCTTCGACACCACCCACCACAGGGGGATAAGAGACGTGGACAGATTGTCAAGAAGAAGTTTTCAGAGACTTAGCCAAAATTTGATGTTAAGCATTGAGGCTAGATCGACAGAATATGGGGAGTCTAGTCTATGCAAAAGCAGTTAACATTGAAGCAACTTTCATTAACGATTGTCAGCAAAATGTGGGAGGTTTTAAGAGGTGGTTTCACACTGACTCCAAACGTGGCTGATTAGTAACGATCGTGCAGTAGGATAGCAGTTATTCTATTTGTCTATTTAAGCCAAATTTAGAGTCATTTGCAAAGGTCGCATTTTGTAACATTGTAAGAAAAATACTAAAAATATCAGCGTTTGAGAGAAACGAGTGAATTCCAGAAAAATGTATGCATGCGTCCAATTTTAATTCTAAGCAATTTACGTCTTCAAGTTTCAAAGTCTTATTTTATAGTTTTATCTTGCAATTGTATTTGTTTTTTACTTCTCACATTTACAATTCAGTTTTTACCCAGTTCAAACATCAAAAGAATATCAAACTTAACACTAAGACTAGGATTCCTGTAGTCGATCCTGCAAGTAACCTTTAATTAAGAGGCTAGAGGTTGTTTGTCAGAAGTCTATGCAAATAAATTGGCACATCTGGTGGGACACGTTGTGTTAAGTTATCATTATTTTGCATGTTGTTTTTCTTAACTTCAACACTGAGAGTGCATGATTTTAAGAAGTGGTAGGAAAATGGTGGATCCTAAAAACACTAGTTCAGTGGGCACACACCCCCAGGAGGAAGCGCAATTGCTTTTCAATCCTTCGACATTAGTGTATCCACGTCAAGCACTATAACTATAGTGTCGAATGTCCAAAGTGGGTCGTTGTTCTCACCAAATCAACCTGATACTCCAAGACCGCCTGGTTTTTACCGTGAAAATTGGTAAACAAGCCCTAGTCTTCTAAAAACAACAAAAATGTCCTTAGTTACTCACTGGATCAACTAGATTGATCCTATGACATGTGTTCTTATTTAAACTTTTTTCTTTTAAACGAAGAATACTTCAATGATATTCATAATTTTTCGATAATGTTGATTTTGATATAAATAATTCTCTAAAGTAAACTATCGAAACTTTGTAAAAGAAGTGCAAATAAAGCAATTGAAAATAAATTACTAAAGTAAATTCTGAATGATAACTTGCAATTTAAACGAAGAAATGGTGTTTACACGTACATTTCTCAAAATACTATTTTCTCAATACGCATATACTTTGAGTTTGTGTGAGATTTTGTATAAACGAATGAAGACCTCTGAATCTTAACGCTAAGACCCTTATATATACTAATTCGACCTGAACGGTCTTTCTATATCTAGATGCCATGTTCGTGACATGCAAATTCTTTGAACTGTTAAACTTCCACGTGTCTTCTGGATAAGATTGAAGATTTGAATTTTGAATCTTTCTATTGCAGAGAGCGCCAAATCCAATATGATCATTCAAATTCAAATTTCAAATTCCTTTTAAAACAAAAGCTTCCTTTAATCTTTATTCAGCTGATCTTCGACCGTTCACTCAGAAACAAATAGTCAAAGCTTTCACTGGACACTTATTTTCAGAAATAACATAGTCTTTTTCGACTCTTGATCCTTTATATCCTCTTATCAAAATTTCCAGCCAACAAATTGCCTTCCAAAATTATGTATTTCGAAATATCTGAAGAAAGGACAACTTTTGAATAACTTTCCATTTCAATACAACAACTGCCTCATGATGACCGTTATAGTCATGACGTCATGGTCATAATGACCAATCTCCTCAAACGTCTCATCGAGACGTGGGCTCATGAAGCTTCATCATTACCATACTAATGTAGGCATAAATCGTGGCTTCCCAAAAAGTAACCACTTTCTTGGCTTATAGAAATTTCACACGCGTCTCACTCTTCTTCATTCAAAACAAATGAAAACTGAAATGTTTTTTCTTATAAATACCTTCTTTAAACTCAAAAGCACTTTTTCAACTTCCATTGGTTTTTTCTGCCTCTGAAAAACTTGTGAACATTTCTTCTTCTTCCTTCAAATCATCAATAGTATTCATACTTATTCATCAATGGAACCCACAAAGAAAAGTACCAAAGCTAGCAAAGACGTGAATAACAACTAAGGTGATACTTCTGAACCCATTGGTCATGCATCAAAACCTATCATGGTTAGAAATCAATAATTTGTGCCAACACCAATACTTTCTGCAGAACAAAAAGTGATATATGCATCTCAGGTAATTATCCCCTTTACTCTTGCTGATAAAACCTCTGGATATATGGGTACTTTAGTTCATGATGATGATTTAGCAAATTTCAAAGATTTTTTCCCTACATATCATGGAACCAATCCCATTGCTAGTAAACTTAGACCTAAAAAGAAAGTAGGTGAAAATGCTGATAAAGATTCCAAAGAATTTAACGCAAAAATTCCTCAAGAAGAAACTTCTTCAGGTTCTGCTGATAAAGAGAAACCCTTTCACCTAAATTACATGATTGGTCCTTTTAAGCTGTTTAGATCTTGTCCAACAAAAGATAGTAATCAATACCTTGATTGGTTAGCTAAAATAAAAAAACAGAAATCCCAATTCTAAAAGGATATTAGAATCTTTGGCTTAATCCAATTATCGAAGGTTGATCCTAGCTATTGCCAACACATGTTGATGGCATCTCTGTATTTCTAGGATAACACTTATAACACTTTTCACCTTTCTTGCGGAATGGTTACCCCCATTCTATTTGATGTGGCTGCAATCATTGGGCTTCGGCCCACCGAGGAGGCTTTTGACCCCTCTACACAATATGAAAACACCATCATTTTTAAAGTTGAACATGCTGGCTTCACCAAGTATATTGATCACTATCATACTGAAGGAAGCGAAGTATCATATGTATAACACATAGCCTTTCTCGCCCTATGGTTATCTAAGTGTATTTTCTATAGCAAATCCCTTTAAGTTGCCAAGATATTTTTAAATTTAGCCAATCAACTCCACTCAGGTCAAAATACATGCCTTAGTGAATTAATTTTGGCTAGATTATATGAGTGTCTGGGAGAAGCAACCACATCTTTGAAAGAATATCAAGAAGGCACCAATCTTTTGCTAGCTGGCCCGTATTGGCTTCTCCAATTGTGGCTAAACGCCATGTTCGAACCCTCTCTCTTCACTTCTTGAATAGTGGACGAAATAGATCCTAAAATTTGCAATCGAACTATTAAAGGAACTAGGTTAGTTCGACTAACACCCAATGATGACGGAAAAAACATAGAGGAGTGTTTCACCAAATACGCTATGATGTTCGTAAAATGACATAAATTTACTCCCTCTATGGCTCCTTTTGCTAAAAGAACCCATGGTCTGGCATGGCTTAGGAAACCCATTTCCGACATTGTATCTACTCGAGAAATAGAATCTCTGGACATCTGAAAGCCTTTTGCTTCCAAAATTAATTGTCACAAGACTCATGCCAGTCAAAAGTCACATTACCCTGCTCGCTTATCAACCCAACTTTGTTTCTCATCAATTTGGGCTTTGTCAATTGATTCCTAAACCTCTTTTCGAGAATAAAAAATCTCTTTTCATTCAAGGAATAAACTTTTCGCTCCTTGATCGAGACACATGTATGGCTCAATATGCCACTTTTATTGAGTTTACTTTAGTTCCTTTCCAACCAACTTTCTATTGCACACAAGAATTTGACTCTTGGTGGAAGGAGTATTATTCTGGAAATATGCTCGACGCTGCTCTCCTTCACCAACATCTGATAACAATTTTTTCCTTTGTGCAGGATCATGTCAAGAAAGGTATGAAGACTCACATAAAAGAGATCCGGGCGTTTCAAAAGTACTTTGAAACTGCCTATGACTCAACTAATATTAGTCGAACCATTCAAAATGCAGCAAAAAACTCTAAAAGGGAAATTTACAACAAAAAAAAACTTCCTGATTTAAGTATTCCTGCATGTGTCAAATATGAGGATATGTATGACTTAGCTTTTAAGCTTGAACCACAAAAATTCCCAAAATTACCTGGTGCTGACTTTAGCTTGACATTTTAGCCTCCTTACTCACATTGGTTCGTATATGGGAAATACTATAATTTTTTAAAACAACAGTCTAAAAA